GGGGGGTGAGAGGGCGAGAGAGGATTGTGCCTTCACGTGAGGGAACAGTCGTTTGCTGCACCCCCAGGTCGACTGCGCTGGCACATGGAAAAGGTGCTGGCGGCGGTGGCGATGGCGGCGGTGGCGGCGGCACGACAAGCTCGCCGCTGCATGGGCACATCCGCACCCGGCTGCCAGCTTTGGAGTAGCAGTTGTTGGTTGTGTACCAATTCTCGTCGGGGCAGTAGTAGCATCCCGTGATGGTCCCGTCCCAGCCGAGGAGCGGGCACTCGCCCGCGTCACAACGCCTCGAGGCCGTGCACGTGCCGAGACCCATCGATGCAAACGCAGCCTCGATCGTGTCGGCCGTCTGGGGGAAGCGAGCCTTCACACAGGTGGAGCCGAGCGCGGAGCACGCGTCGATGCAGTCGCCCCCGGGTGCACTAGCGACAAAGGTCACTGGCGAGGGCGCGGATGGTGGCGCGGATGGCGGAGCCATGAGAGCCGCGGACGGAGGCGGCGGCGATGGCGTGGCGCACAGGCGCTGCGCGGCGGCGATGGCGGCGTCGTCCGAGTCCTCGACGACGAGAGCGACCATCGCCTCGGCGGCGCCGGCGGTGCACATCTGCAGCGCATGCACGCATCCGCCGCTCGAGCAGGCGGCCCACGCGCGCTGCGGCCGTACCACAAAGGGCGTGCCGACGGCAGGGAAGCCGAGGGCATACGTGAGCGTGTTGCGCTCGCCATTGGCGGGCGCGTAATGGACCGAGAGCCGGCCCTTGACCGCACTCGAGAGGGTGGCGTCGAGCCCTGCGCCCGTGCGGTACGAGACCCACACGGCCATGTTCGATCCCGCCACGGGGAGGCGCACGCCGTATGTGCGGCCGGCCGCGAGCGCGCCGCCCGCGGAGCCGGAGGCAAAGGGGTCGACGCGAAGGTCGGAGATGGCGACGACGGCCGCGCCGCCCCAGTCGCGCGTGTGCGTGTTGCGTTCGAGCCAGCCGAGCGTGATCAGGTTGGGCAGCACGAAGCCCGGGCAGTTGTTGCGCGCGCTCGAGCCCATCACCGCCGAGTAGTCGCCGTACTCGTTGAGCGCGTTGCCGTCGACGTCCATCTGCCCCGAGTGGTGCAGCCCGAGGTTATGGCCGAGCTCGTGCACGCGGATGCCATTGCGGTTGGCGCCCGCAGAGTACTGCACCTCCCACGTGTACCGCCCGCCGAGCTGGCCGAGGCCGCCCCACGAGCACTGCGAGACCGAGGTGTGCGGCAGCCAGAACTCGATGTGTTGCGTCGACGAGGTGGTCGAGACGCTCGGGTGCTGCGTCGCCATGAGCGAGAGGGCAAGGCTCGTCGCGGGGAGGACCTGCTGGAAGATGTCGCAGCCGGCGATGGCGGAGACGGGCTGGCCCATCTGCACCGTGACGACCTCGACGGACGTCCACTCGAGGATCTCGTATGACGAGAGCTCGGTGGCGTACTCGACGGTCCCCGGCTGGCGCACGCCCGACGGGTGGGTGAAGCCGTCGCGCACGCACGCCTCGGAGCAGTAGGTGGGGCTGTAGTCGGTGTACTCGAGGCGGATGGCGAGGAAAGTGCGCGGCTCGGCGCCGACGGAGAAGGCCGCCGTCCCGACGGAGAAGGCCGCCGTCCCCGTCGCGGCGGCGCTGGCCGCGAGGCGAGGCGACGGCGCGGGCAAGCCGCCGATGGTGGTGGGCGTGGTGGTGGCGGGCACGTTCGAGAGCACGCGCACGATGCCCCAGGACGCGGAGGCGGTCGTGCTTGTGGCGAGCGTCGAGTTGCGTGCGGCGGCCTCGGCGGCGACGAGCGCCGCCCGCACGACGCGCCGCACCTCGAGCGAGAGCCGCGCGCCGTAGGCAAAGTCGGCGCACTGCGTCGCGATCGCGAGCTTGTGCAGCGTGTGCGGCGCGGCGACGTCCTCGCAGACGCCAAAGGCCGCGCCGATGCCCGCGTCGAAGTGGTCCTCGGCGATGACGCCGGCAAAGGTGCAGTTGAGCCGCGTGGCGACCTCCTTCGGATCGGCGTAGTCGAAGACCGCCGGGCTGAGGCGACGGTCGTTGAGCTCGCGTCGAGCGTGCGGGGATGGCTGCGACGGGAACACAGGTGGCGACGGACGAGCCTCGCAAGGAGCAAGCATACCAAAGGCGCAAAGCAGGACCAAGCAGCTATGCGAATTGAACTGCTGGTGGTGAATCTGAGACGGCGTGCGATGGCGGCAACGACGTTCGGCAGGCTCGAGCGAGGCGGCGGATCTCGAGCTGCTCTTGTCGTCTCGGCCGCCAGCCATCCCGAACAGCCGCCAGCTGCAAACGGCGGCGACGAGGAAGGCAGCTGTGATGAAGAGCACGGTCGTTGAGGCTGCAACAAGCGCGGCGCCGCCAGCGACAGTGACCCAAACCGCAAGCGACGGTGGCCAAGCCTTTAAGTTGCGGCGCCACGTCACCGTGCCGACGACGGCCAAGGCGGCGACTGCGGCGGCGACCTTCGGCGGACCCGCTGCGAGCCACGGCATGCAAAAAGTAGGCATGCTTGCTTTTCGGCTTGCGGCGCGGTGTGCTGGCGGTTTGGGTGTGGGCTCGGCGTTTCATGGAAAAAACAAAAATCTCGCCCAGGTTCTGACCTCTGACTGGCCGACTCACACAGCGAGCCTACTGTCTCCCTGCTGCTGATTCATCAGTCGTGCTCAGCCAAGGTATTGTAGAGACCGACCATGTGCACAATATCTTGACTGAGAGCTATAAGCCCAGTTCGACGATCGGCAGCCTCACCGCGGGTCGCGCCGCTGCGCAGCGAGAGCCAGGCTCGCCCGGCGAAGGTGACCAGAGAGTGCTCAACAAATACCAGAAAAAAAGTTCTTCCAGGTTCATCTCTGAAGCCCTGATAAATGAAATGTGCCCATGCCCATGCCCATGCCTAGACCGCTAACTCGAGCGAGCCCAAACAGGGCCGTGCCGCTCCTCTCCACCGTGATGCTCCTCGCCATCATCGTCACCACGACGTGTCAGCTGCGGACGGGCGTCGCCCGCGACATGCGCACGTAGCCCGACAACACTCAAACGCTCTGCAAGCCGCGGGCGGCCCAACTGTCAATGTCGTCTCGCATTACCGGTACGCGGGCCTGGCTGCTGAGTATGTTGAGGCTTTGGCGAACTTGTAGATAACCAATCTAAATGGTCGTCACGACCAACAATAGCATAGGGGGGAAAGCCAAAGGTCTGAGACCCCTGGGCGCTGGACCGAGGCCTGGTTAGGACCTCGGGCGAGCGCACCCAACCCCACAACAGAGACAACCCACACCACACCACAGACAGTGGGTGGGCAAGAAACCATCACAGGGCGGGTGGGTGGGGAAACGCGCAGCGAGGGAGACGACTCTCTGTCTCCCTCACGACAGCTCGGCTACGCCTGTCCCCGAGGACGCACGTAAACTCCACGTGGCAAGGAGCCTTGTAATGAAACCGAGCGCCGACTTGATCCTACCCTCGGAACGTCGCCGCAAAGCACTTTATCTCCTGCGTTCGCATTTGGTCGGCCATCACCACACTCCCTAGCTCAACTGTCGACCCTAACGGGTCGCCAGCCGATCGTCATCTCTCTCTCCCCCGACTCCCCATCGAGACTGAGCCCCCGGTGAGCACGGGCTGCGGCGCGACCCTTGCCGTCCCCGCGCACGCAGGTCACCATGGCTGCATCAGAGCTGCTTTGTCGTGCGCACTCGAGCAGCGCGCAACGGTCGCGCCCACCTGCCACCTCGCCTCGCCGGCTGCGCGTCCCGCTCGCGGCGGTCGCCACCATCCCTGGGTCACCGCCACTGCCCCTGTCCCTGCCGCCGCCGTCGCCGTCCGATTCCTCCCCGCCGCCCGGCCTGATCCGCGGCGTGCAACGCCCCCCACGCACAAACATGGGCACACACCTCGGCATCGCCGAACCCCCAGCCCCCTGCCGCCGCCGCCGCCGTCCCTGTCGCCCCCGCTTCCACCCACTTGCTTTACTGCCAACTCCAAGCGGGAGGCAGCAAAAGCACGCAGTCAGAACCCTGATAGAACGTCGCCATCGTGTAGCAGGCAGGCCTGGCTACGTAGCCGCGTGTTGGGGAGTAGTGTTTGTGTGTGTGGTGTACTCTCTCTCTCCACTCAGTGTATAGTGAGTGAGCAGCGCACGATAAAAACCACTGAAAAAACCTCGAAGCCCTGGGAGCCCTCCCCCTACTGTTTACCAGCTAGCGCCTCGCACGACACTGGGCACGGGACTGACTGGCGCGCACTGGCACTTAACACAGGTACACCGCGGGATGATTTTGTATGCCAAGTCATGGGGTTACGCGTCCGCGGCTACAATGGCGACATTCTACTTCCTCCAGGGTGGTCGTCCAGCAGTGAGGGGGGATTCGTTGGTCCAGATGGGCAGCAGGCCCCAAGCCGCGATGCGGCGTAGCAATGGCTATTATTATTCGGGTTGCCTTTGCCGTCATCATTCAGGGCGGCGTCCTACCATGGCGGCCCAAGTCAATTATTGATATTGCTGGTGTCCGCCGTGTGAGGCGCTGATGGTCTGGCGCGGTTTCCTATTTGCAATTATTGCACGCCGCGCCGCCGTCGCGCGAACTTATCGGCAGCATCCAACTTATTGGCGCGGTTTCGCGATGTCTCTCAGAGCTCTGGGTCGCAATGGGCGATCCCAGGCGGGAGCAGAGGCCAGTGGCCTCGATTCTCTGATCCCACCCTCGCTCCCATATCCCCTTCTTAGTTCCACGGAGAGGGGTAGAGTGAGAATTCCGCAAGGACCCCGCATCAAAGATCAATCTATGTGTCATGTGTGCCCACGCCATGTAGCATGTTGGAACTTGGATGATGTTGCATGATGGATTGCATGTAAATAAAGACTAAATATAGTTTGCGCGTCCTCGCGATTGTATGTAACATGCGGATATAACCAAAACGACTCTGTTCACAACCGCAAGTTACCCTTCTTGGTAGGTGGACAAAAGTATGCGTTTTTTGGCCTGCGGAGCCGGAGGGCCCAGTGCCGGAGATGGATGCGGCGCCTCTCTCCTCCGCTGCCCCCCCGGCCTCACTGCGAGCGCACGGCCTCGTACCCCTCCCTCCGGCTCCATTCGGGGCTGCCTCGCCCGCGCCCGCCCCGCCCGCCCCGCCCACCGCGCCCACCGCGCCCGCGCCACCCGCGCCCACGACCGGCGCCGCGCCGGTCGTGCGCCTCCGCCGCAGCGGCCATCACCGCCTCCGCGTCGACGCCGAGCTCGGACTCGACGGCGGCGTGCCTCTGCGGGTCGGCGGCGGCGGCGGAGAGGAGGGAGTGCTGGATCGCCACATCGGGCTGCAGGCCGAGCTCGCGCATCTCGCGGAGGCGGC